GTAACTTTTTCATTATGAGTTAGCTTAAATATTTTAAATATTGAAAAATATTTAGTTTTGAAATTAATTTCTTATAAATGTTGAAATAAGAAAATTCAGTAAAATTTTGCTATGTACAATGTAAAATTTTGATTAAAAATATGTTTTTCTTTGAATTTCACAGGGACATCATTAAAATCCAAAATGTTCTCCAATCGTATGACAACAATTGTGCGGCTTGTTGCACAACAGCAGCAGCAGCAACAACAACGTGGTATGGCAACTCTTAAAGCTATCTCTATAAGATTAAAATCTGTAAAAAATATTCAAAAAATCACCCAATCAATGAAAATGGTGTCTGCTGCTAAATATAATAGAGCAGAAAGAGATTTGAAACAAGCTCGACCACTTGGTGTTGGTACAAAGGTATTTTACGAAGCTGCTGAAATTGAAGCACCACCAGAAGAAGAGAAAAAACTTGTAATAGCAATAACAAGTGACCGTGGATTGTGTGGTGCTGTACACACTGGAGTTTCTCGTAATATTAGAGATGTCCTTTTAGCAGATGCAAAAGAACGTGAAAATACAAAAATTATATGTGTTGGTGAAAAATCACGGGCAATTTTGTCTCGCTTATTTGCCAATAATATATTATTTGTTGCATCTGAAGTTGGACGTAAACCACCTACATTTAATGATGCTGCTAAAGTAGCAATTGAAATTATGAATAGCGGGTATGTTTCTTTTGCTTTGTGTTACTAGCATATTGTTACCAAAAATTATATTAGTTTTATATGCTTTTTTCCACATTAACATAATAGATTCAATAAATTGGTATTTACAGGTACAGTTTTGGTTCTGGCCGTATTGTGTACAATCGATTCAAATCTGTAGTATCATACTCTGTTGATCAGTTGCCACTCTTCGACAAAAATGCTGTAGTCACTGCACCTAAATTATGTCTATATGACTCACTGGATGAAGATGTAATTCAAAGCTATTTGGAATTCTCTCTGGCTTCTATGTTGTTTTATTCTATGAAGGAGGGTGCGTGCAGTGAACAGTCAAGTCGTATGACAGCTATGGATAATGCTAGCAAGAATGCAGGAGAAATGATAGATAAATTAACCCTGACATTCAACCGTACTCGACAAGCTGTAATTACTAGAGAACTGATTGAAATTATTTCTGGTGCTGCTGCTTTGGATTAAAACATACATACAACTCATTAAAAAGTTAATACACCATAGTGTTGGGAAGTAGTTCATAAATTTGTAGTCAATTGGAAATTGACTACATTGTTTTTTGTAAAGACAATTTTAATTCGTGAACACCCAAAGTTGCTATAAATGATCAAACATTTGAAAATACAGCAACATTTATAAACCCAACGTCAAAATAAACTATTTAAAAATGTTACTGAAATACTTTATTTGTTGCAATTATGATTAAAACTGCCAAATAAAACAGATATTTCTATTAACTTTTGTATCTATTAACATAATAAAGCTGTATATATACAAATAATACATATTTAGAATATAGTATGTCGATACATTAACACTAAGTTACCAGTATTATTATTTATTTATTGTTGTTTTATTGACGAATACAAAAACGTTATTTAAAATGTTATAACCATTGTTGAATTTTTTTCATTTATTGTATGAAAATATGAAAAAATTTACTTTTATGTTATAAATATCT